AGGAGCCTGACTACTGGAGGGTCAAATCTCGGCTTGACCCATCCCAGTGGGCAGGCATGTCACTGAACTTCTCTGACCTTTGGCTTCTCATTCATAGGATGAATATGACTGAATTTTTTGGGCTTTGGATGGGATAGCATGAAGGACTTGGAAGGATACATGCCCACAACGACCACTGCCAGCTCCTCCTCTCACTACAGTGATGATTAGTCTGACTGCTGAACATTGTACAAACAACTTTATCTGGCCCTGTGGGTCACTCGGTAAAGGACAGTTTCCCACCTAATGGGTCACTTGCTGTGGATGCTTATGTAGAAAGGACAAGGGGGTTGCCAGGGTCTGGGGTGTAGAATTGTACTGGCACTGGTAGGTGTCTTAGTTACTTTTTACTCATTGCTGAGACAGAATGCCTGAAGCCCAAAGTTGGGAAAGGAAAGTTTTATTTCTTACAGTTTTTGGAGGTTTCAGTCCATACTCAGTTGGCTCCAAGGCAGGGTGGCATGGCTGGGCCGCAGTTCATGGTGGCTGCTAACAGCAAGGAGGAAACAGGCAAAAGAGAGCGAGACACACCTTCTTCCTGCCATTATATTACATCCTGGCTCCACCCCTAGGCCAGTGTAGCACTCACACCCCCAATCCAAGTGCTAGACAATGAGCCAATCACAAATGCATAATGCAAATGCATGAGGCCTGGGAGCCACCAACATAAACCATGACAGTAGGAGTGATCTGTCTTGCTCCTGTGGCCATTTTGTTGTGGCCTTCAACGCAAGGAGTCTCTTTGGGAGCATTTTGGATCCTAACCATTACAAGGTAGAAGAGGGAGATGTGACCAAACAGCCCAGGGGACAGTGCTGGCTCTCCTTCTGAGCTGCCCATGAAGACAAGCCCAGCAGCTGAGCAAGGGCTTGCTGAAGGGGGTAGGGCCTGGCCCAAGGGGCACTCAAATCCAGATTCACCATCTCATCTGTGTGATGTTGGGTAAACTAGTGAGCCTCTTGGAGCTCAGGTTGACTCATCTGTCAAATGGGGTGGACACTATTCAGAAGACTAAATGAGAGATCATACAGCTGGCAAAGTACAGCCCACACTTACCAGACTTGCTGCTTTGAGATTCCCTCTGGGGAGATGAGAATTTTACCACCGTGTTTTATAAATGAGCAAATGAAGATACAGAGAGGGCAAGTGACTTGCCCAAAGTCATCCAGTTCAAAAGTAACAGGTCTCAGACAAGCCTGACCAATTTGGAAACATATCCCTCTCTCACTGTTCCCTTCCTGAAAGTCTTTTCCCATGTGGAGAGGAGGAGCAGGGCTGGTGCCTGAAGGCCATGAGGAGTTGTTTTTGGTTCTTGCAAACCTGTGCCTGGATCCTGTAGCCTGGAGAAAACAAACTTTGGTCTCTTATTCTATACCAGCTCAATCTGGCTTGTCTTCTGAACCACAAGCACATGGGACAAGGACCATTTTCCAGGACTATGAAAAGTTAGGGACTTGCCTGAGCTGGGAGCATGCAACACTGGCTCTGGAGTCAGCTGTTCACCCCAAGCTCTGCAGCACCCTCCCCTCAGGAGAAATGCCTCTTCCTTCTGCGGCACAGAACTCCTTGCTCTAACACTAGTGGCTGTCAGAGCAACCAGTTTTGCCATCTGGCAGGAGGCAGCTCTGCTTTCCTGACCTGAGGGGAGGATGGGATGTCTGGCCTTATAGGACCCGAGGCACCATGACCACCAAGGCACTGTTCATCTCCTCCCCCATCTCAGCCGCTGGGTCACATCTCTCCTCCAGGAGCTGGGAGGGAAGGGGGTGGAGGTGTCTGTCCTCAGATGCCGCCACTACTTTTGGAGATTACATTGATCCTAATTTTGGGGCACATGGGCTTGGTGAGGCTAAGAGCAGACCCCACTCAAATAACATCTGCCACGGATGCCACCAGTTCTGACCTGGTGTTTCTGGAGCTGGCATAGACCCTCACCCCCTTTTAAGATGGTTCATAGCCAAGAGTTCCTTACAGATATCTTCACTCTGCTGTGTCTCTCCAGACTGCAGAAGGAAGCAGCTGCAGCTCAGAGCCTACATGGATTGTATAGGTGGCTCGGGGGCCATTCTGGCCTGGGGGCTCTGGTTATTCACATGCAAAGGAAGAAAATGACTTCAATTTCATGTCATAAACAAAAATTAATTCAAAAGGGAACAAAATATTTGGGGTAAATATATTTAGGCCATCATTCACTTCTTTCAGTAATGTTTTCTTATTTTCAGAGTATAAGTCTTGCACTTTTTAAAGGCTTTTTTGCGGGTAGGTACCGGGGATCAAACTCACAACCTCATGCTTGCCAGTCAGGCACTTGTGTTGCTGAGCTAAATCCCCAGCCCCTCCTAGGGCCTTGGGACCTTCCTCTTGTGAAGGGCACAGTGTCACGGAACCAAGTTAACTTCTAACACTTGGTGCCAAACCTTATCTCAGACACACAGAGAAGCCACGGAGAAACGATCCCTGCTGCCCCTTCTCTGTGCCCACATCCCTCAGTCCTCATGTGGAGTGGGCACTGAGAAGTTAGGTGATTTACCGATGGTCACACAGCTGATCACGGAGGGCCAGGATCTGTACCCAGGCAAGGGGATGCTTCCAATCCCTTCATCATGGCTCATGAAGAGCACATTGCAAGTAGTTATATGGACACATGCATTTAAAATGTACTGGGGCAGAGCTGGGGTGGTGTTCAGTGATAGAGCACACCCTTTGCAACACAGAAGTTTTAAATTTTGGTGGTATCTACTTTATTTTTTCTTTTGCTTGTGCTTTTAGTATCCTAACTACAAAAGCATCATCTAATTCTAAGTGATAAAGATTTACTCCTGCTGAGTGTGCAGGCTTGTGTACATAATCCTGGTAGTCAGGAGGCTGAATAGGAGAATCTATGAGTGTTTGAGGCCAGCTGGGGCTACATTAAGTTTGAACCTGGACTGCATAGCAAAACCCTCGCTCAACAAGCAAGCAGGCAAGCAAACCAACAACAAAGATTTACTCCTGTGGTGGTTTTTTGTTTATTTGTTTCTTTTAGTGCTAGGCATTGAACCCAGGAATGTGCACCTGGTAGGCAGGTGCTTTACTGCTGAGCTACATCTGCAGCCTACTGTGATTTCTCGTAAGATTTTACAGTTTTAGATTTTTACCTCCAATATTATGTTCCATTTTGAGTTAATTTTTGTTTATGCCATGAGGTTGAAGTCATTTTCTTCCTTTGCATGTGCATATCCAATTGTGCCAGTCATATTTGTTGAAAGATTATCTCTCCTCACTTCCTCTGTCTCCCCTTACCCCCATTTAGTTGTCTTGATCCTCCTGTCAAAAACCAATTGATTTTCAGGCATAATGGTGCACGCTTATAATCCCAGCACTCAGCAGACTGAGGCAGGAGACACAGCAGAGTGAAGTGAGTTTGAGGCCAGCCTGGGCTACAAAGTGAGTTCAGGGCCAGCTTTAACTGCATAGTGAAACCTTTTCTCAGAAAGCCAAAAAACAAACAAACCAACCAATTGACTATAAATTTGAAGTTTTATTTCTGGATCCTCAATTCTACTCCATTGATCTATATGTCTGCTACTCCTCCTCCTCCACCACCTCCTCCTCCTCCTCCTCCTCCTCCTCCTCCTTCTCTTCCTCCTCCTCTTCTTCTTCTTCTCCTCCTCCTCCCCCCCCTCTTCCTCCTTCTTCTTCTTCTGGGTTGAACTCACAACCTTGTGTTTACCAGGCAAGTGCTTTAGCAGCTGGACTAAATTCCCAGTCTATGTCTGCTCTTTTATACACAAATGCCACACTGCTTTGATATTATAATCTCATAATATAGTTTGAAATTAGGAGGTGTGGATCTTCCAGTTCTATTCTTCTTCAAGATTGTCTTGTCTGTTCTAGGTCCTTTCCATTTTCACATGAATTTTGGGACATGCTTGTCAATTTCTGCAAACAAGTCAGTTGGGATGTGAATAGATGTCACTGAATCTGTAGATCATTTTAGGGCATGATAACATCTTAACAATATTATGGCTTTCAGTCCACGAGCAGAGGAAGCCTTTCCATTTGTTTAGGTCATCATTCACTTCTTCCAGCAATGTTTTCTTATTTTCAGAGTATAAATCTTGCACTTTTTAAAGTTTTTTCTTTGGGAGGGTATCAGGGATTGAACTCACAACCTTGTGCTTGTCAATCAGGTGCTTGTGCTGCTGAGCTAAATCCCCAGCCCCTCGTAGGTATTTTTTGATGTTTATTGTAAATGGCATTGGTATTTTAAAATTGCATTTTTTTAGTTGGCTCATGGCTAGGATATAGAAACAGAATTGATATTACATATTGATCTTAGTACATGGGCTGTCGAAGTGAGCACAATGCATGTTAATCTTGCATGTTGCAATCTTGCTGAATTATTTGTGAGTTTTAACCTTGTGTGTGTTTGTATGTGCATATATGGTATTTTCTATGTGTAAGAGCATGCATTAACAAATAGAAATAGTTTACCACTTTTCCAGCTGGATGCCTCTTACTTCTTTAATTTGCCTAACTGCCTTGACTAGAGCTTGATGAGAACTGAGATGAGCTGACATTGTGACTTGAGTTTTGGGGGAAAGCATTTGGTCTTTCACTCTTGAATGTGATGTTGGCCGTAGGCTTTTGTAGAGGCTATGTTGTTGCTACATTGTCCAGTTTGGACTCAAACTTGTGATACTCCTGCCTCAGCCTTTCAGAGTGCTGGGATTACAGGTGTGTACTACCAAGATCAGCTGAGATGCTCTTTCTTTTAAAATGTAAAAGAAGATCCCATCCTTCTAAAGATGAAAACTCTGATGTAGAGTCAAATGCAAAAGGTATTAAAATATTGGCATTGTTGTAAAAATCTCTGTGATTGTGTCCAGACAGGGAGCTGCCCTGGGCTCTCCACAGCTGCTCTCTTAGGGGGCAGCAGGAAGGCTGTGCTCATGGCCCCCTCCCCTCCTCTGTCCCAGGCCTATGAAAAGCGCTTCCCCACATGCCCGCAGATCCCAGTGTTCCTGGGCAGTGAGGTGCTACATGAGTCCCGCAGCCCAGACGGGGCCTTGCACGTGGTAGAGCGGAGCTGCAGGCTGCGTGTGGATGCCCCAAGGCTGCTGCGGAAGGTGAGTGGTTGGTTGATGAGGAACAAGAGGGTGGAGGGCTGAGCTGGTCTGGCCCGGGTTGGAGACCACTGGAGTTCACAGTGGAGTAGGGGTTCTAGGGACCAGTGCCAAGTTGGAGTGTCGCAGAGGGCTGGGTCTGAGGGTTTGGACCCAGCCTGGGTGGTGGATGTGGGTGGGGACTGGGTTGGGAAGGACTCTAGAGTGGGCTGGGTGGGTGGCTGGAGGAGGGATCTGGGGCTGGGATCCAGAGGACCAGGGTGTCTCATGTGTGCTTTCATACCTTGCAGGTTGCGGGTGTGGACCACGTGGTCTTCGTGCAGAAAAACATCCTAAACTGGAGAGAGAGGACACTGCACATCGAGTCGCACAATGAGACTTTTGCCAGCCGTGTGGTAGTCAGTGAGAACTGCAGCTACACGGTGCTGTCCTCTCCCTCCTGCCCCTTTCTCCCTTCCGTGTCACTGTCTGTAACATGCAGGATGCCCCGTTGCATTTACAGTTCAGATAAACAGCTGATAGGACGGTTTAGTGTGTCTTACATACTGTTCTGGTTATACTTACAGGAAAACATTCTTTGTTGCCTACCTGAAATTCAAACATGCCTGGGCATCTTGTATCATCTATATTTGGCAGCCCTCTCCTCTCGCTTTTCCCTCTCTCCTTTCCTTCTCTCTTTTATGAAACTGTTTAACTCTTCATCTGTGAAATACTCATCATTAGTCAGGTGCGGTAGTGCATGCCTGTAATTCTAGCACTTGGGAGGCTGAGACAGGAGGATTGTTGCAAGTTTGAGACCAGCATGGGCTACAAAGTGAGCTCAAGGCCAGCCTGAAGGGCATAGTGAGACTCTGTCTCAAAAAGACAAAAAAAAAAAAAAAAAAAAAAAACAAAAAAAAAACAAAGTCTATCTCATAGACTGTGGTGAGGATTATCTCAAGTAAGATGGTCTTATCCAAACCCCTTAGACCAAATTAGACCAATTTAGCACATACTGAATTTCCTGTCATCTTTCAAATAATAATGGTTACTAGTCTCTAGTACATATTGATGGGAACCCGTTTTGCCAGGACCCTGCCAGGGACTGGGCACCCAGCCATGCACCAGCCTGCCAGGCCATTGTCCTCACACGGCTTTCAGTGGAAGGGGGAGACACTGGGGAGAGGCAAACACATCCCGAAGTGTTTCCTTGTCACAGTGCTAGGAAGGGACCCAGCAGCAGGACTATAGGGATGAGATGAGAGGTCTTCCCTTAAGTACCAGTGTCCCTTTGGCCTCTCAGAAAGTGCTACTGAGACAAGAGGAACTGCGCCATGAAGGGCTGGAAACAGCTTTTCAGCAGGAACAGCACAGTGAGAGGCTTAGCAAGGTGAGACCAGGTGGAGCTGCAGGACCAGGTCCTGTTAGCCATGAGGCTGGAGGAAGGAGCCTGGAAGACACTGACTGACAGCAAGTAGCTCTGCTATTTCCTTGATGTGTGGGCAGGTCACTTTCCCTCTCTGGGCCAAACCATTCATATCTGTAAACCGATGACGTTGACAGATCCTGCCTTGCAAGATCTTCAGGTTGCAGGGAGGGCTGAGTAGATGATGTAGGATCAGTCCCAGTCTGGACCTTGGATTGGAGTTTCAGGGAGGGCAGCTCCAGCATGATGATTATGGAGCATTGTGGGTGTCTCTGCTGCTTTTTCCGGATCTCTTCCATGAAGGGATTTTGCCTCATTTATCTCTCAGGTCCTTGACACTTAGCATGGTGCTATGTGCAGCTGGCAGCCACTAAATGCCCACTGTGTCTTTTATCCTTACCTCCAGCTCCTCCTGAGACAGACCTGAGTCCGGGTCTCTTGTAGGCAGCAGGTATCTGTGCGCGGTGCACTGGGGTGATTGCCACCAGGAAACTGGCAACCTCGAGGCTGCCTGGGGGTGTGGTTCCCCAGCTCCACCTAACACTTGCTCACTGTCAGGGGCCAGCCTGGGAATCTGCATGCTCTATAAACTATCTGGTACCTTCCCAAGAGCATGAAGTCGGGGTCTGAAAGCAGCTTTGACAATTAAGGTTTTTTTTTGCTGATATATTTATATTTATGGACACATAAAAATATGCAGTGTGATAAAACATGAAGAAAGTTTAAATTTAAAAAATGTATTACAGTAAAAGACACATTGCCATTAACCCCCTCAAAATAGTTCCCCTTGCTTCTCTTTGAACACACTTGTATTGTTCCTGTTGCTTACTTAACAGTCCTGGAAGCCCTCTTTCATTAATATCTTTAGTTGTGCCGTTGTGACTGTTTTGATGTCCTGAATTGATTCAAAACTTTCACTTTTTATGGTCATTCTGACTTTGGAGAAGAGCCAAGAGTGGCACAGTGCTGAATTTGGTGAATAAGGTGGGTAAGGACACACAATAATCTGTTTAACAAGTCTATGTTTCTGTTGAATGGCACTTAGCAACAACATTCACCTTACTTTTTATCACACCTCATAAAGACAGTCATAAAAGTGGACTTCCAGAACTGCTTCAGAAAGTAGCGAGAATGGTGGGATACAAGTATTTGAAAGTGTGTGTGTGTGGTATTTGGAGGGGGGTTAATGGTGATATGTCTTTTACTGTAATACATTGTTATTTAAACATTCACTGTTTTTGGTGAAACCTCACATGCAATATTTCATATCTAAATATATAATAATATGTGTACCTAAAGCATATATGTAATATTGATATATAACTCATTTATATTATATAAATGATATGTTATCCTAAACCTATTATTTACATATAAATCTACATGTCTGCATATAATTTTAAGGGGAAGGGGCTGAGCTATTAGAACCTGTTTCTCTAGTCTCTCATGAAAAAGACTCTTAGTTCCTCAACAGTACAGAGTTGGCCTTGTCCCCTGGGCAAGGCTCCTTGGTGTTGACAGGATATGACATGCCTCTACTGCCCTTGGGAGGGCAGGACATTCCCTGCACTGAGACCCTGGCATTGGCCTGTCTGGCTTTCAGGTCCACCCTGAGAATGAAGACTGGACTTGCTTTGAGCAGTCCGCCTCACTGGACATCCGATCCTTCTTTGGCTTTGAAAGTGCCTTGGAGAAGATTGCCATGAAGCAGTACACGGCCAATGTCAAGAGGGTGAGTTGAAGGAGGTGCCCAGACTCGCTGTGCCCCCTGACAACCTGTGTGATCCTGGGCAAGAGCCTTTACCTTCCTGACCAATCTTCTCATATGTAAAATGGGTTTCTATTTGTGACTATCATATGACATAATGGAGGGAAAGGCTTACCTATAGTAGAGGACTGTGTCAGCCCTCTGAGATGGTGGGGGCTTGTGTAATGAACTTAATGGACAGAAGAGGAACATTCTTGGGAGAGTTTTTCTGGTTAAAGTTGTTTTTGCTTGATTTAAAGAACTTGGAACTCTTAATTAGGTGGAGGCCTGTTTATATAATTACAGGTGAAATTAATTTTAATAATGTAATTTATTTAATGTGTTGTCAGTACGAAACTGTTCATATTCTTTGTTCCATTGTGAGTCTGGAAATCTCATGTGTATCTGACACTTGTGGCACACCCCCATCGTATGACCACTGCAGCTGCCCACAGACCACAGTGTCTGGGCTGGGACCCTACAGGGAGTGACCCACAGCTGTGTGGTGCCCTGGCTATCCCGGCCCATGGTGACACATCTGGGATCTCTCTGGCTTCCAGGGGAAGGAGGTGATTGAGTATTACCTGCATGAGCTTATCTCCCAGGGCACCTCTCACCTTCCCCGCTGGACACCGGCTCCAGTATGGGAGGAGGATGCGCACAGACAGCCACAGGACCACAGTTCGCTGGAGAGCAAGGCGATCAGTGGTGCCCCAAGTCCCGGTCCAGAGGGTGTCAGTACCGAAGGTAAGTGACTGAAGTAAGTCAGCTGGCTAGCTCTGCACCCTCAGCCCACAGTCTAGGGCAGGCTTCAGCACTCGCTTGCTCCGTGGGAGGAGGGGAAAACTGCATTTGGTCCCCTTGGCAGGGAAGAGGGTGAGGGAGGGATGTTCTGGGTCTGGAATGACTCAGCTTCCTCCCTCTGCTAGTGCTTCTCCCTGGCTCCATTCTGGCCAAAGCTGGCTTATTTCTAGATCAGGAATCAACCTCCAGTGCCTTAGCACTGACTTACTCTCTGGTTATTACTATTTTTAATTATATGAGTAATGCATCATCATGGTAGAAAAAAATTCAGATCACTGGGAAGATGTGAAATGCACTAAGGGTCCTTCCCTCTCCCCAGAGGCTGTAACAGTTTTGTCTTTCATGAAGCTATATACATATATATGCATGTGGTATGTAAGTATACACACGTGTGCACATGCATACATATCTAACTTATGTCAAACAAATGGGAGCATGTTATACATTTTATTTGATACTTTCATTTTTCTCACTAATGTTGTTTGAATAGTTTCCCATACTGTTGCATATATCTTCTTTTAGTACTTCATAGTATAGGTGGTGTATATTTATTTATTATTAGTGAGCAGTATTATTATTACTACTCTTTCAGTACTAGGAGCAGAATCCAGGACCTTGCATATAGTAGGCAAGAGCTCTAACACTCAGCTATATCCAAACCTTTCTTTATTTTGAGGAGTTGCTGGGGATAGTCTTGAACCTGCAGTCTTCCTCTCAGCCTCCCAGAACGCTGGAATTAAAGATGTGTGCTACCACACCCGGCTCATTTTAAAAAATACAGTTGGGTGTGGTGATGTAAGGCTGTAATCCCAGAACTTGAGAGGCTGAGACAAGAACATCACTATGCATTTGAGGCCATCCTGGGCTACATCAGTGTTCTGGCCAGCCTGAACTGCATAATGAGACTCTGCCTCAAAAACCAAAACCAAAACAAACAAAAACAAATAATGTGGTATAGCATATACTTAATGAGTTTACATTTTATATATACTTATATATAATGATAAAAATATAGTAATCAAAAATATGGTAATTGTTTAAAGGTAGTTTTATAGTAAAAGGTGCATAACCATTAACCCCCAAACATACTCCCTTTTATTTCAAACACACTTACCCCATCGTTGTCCCACTTTCTGAAGCATTTCTGGAAGTCTTTTGTGTCTTTATGTCTTGAGATGAAAAATACCATGACGGGTGCTGGCAAGTGACATCCGACAGAAAGGTGTGGCTCCTAAAAACACCATGATGTGTCCTCATCCACTTTATTCCCAGGATCTGGCACTGTGACTTTTGGCTTTTTCCCAAAATCTAAATAACCATGAAAAATGAACATATTGAATTGACTCAGGACATTGAGGCAATTGTGACAGCACCACTAACGACACTCATGAAAGAGAATCTCCAGAACTGCTTCAGAAAGTGGCAACAAGGATGGGATGAGTATCTTCAAAGCGAGGGGGACTGTTTTGTGGAAGATTAGTGTCAACGTGTATTTTACTGCAATAAAATATTTTTTACACAAAATGTTATTTACACATCATATGTTTCGATCACAGTTTTTACATAGCATACATTTTTTAAAGTGGAGTTGCTTTTTTTTAGGGGATTGGGATGAGACAGGATCCTGCTATGTAGTCCAGGCTGGCCTGGAACTCATGGTAACTCTCCAGCTTCTGCCTCCTGTGTGCTAGAATTAGCACTCACCTCACATGGTGCAAGTGGAATTGTTGCACCAAAGCTTATATGAAACTAAAATTCTGGTAGATTTACCTCTTAGACCGCCAAAGAGTTTATACTAATTGTTGTTTCCACCTAAGTGTGTAAGTGTGTCTACTCATCCTGACCCCCAACATGAGTCTTACTAAATGTTCCAGACCTCTGCAGTCTGTTTTTCTGTCAAAAGTAAGGTTAAGTGTTGTTTTCATATTCAGGTTTCCGTTCTTTCATGAACCCTCGTTACTGTCCTTTGTCCTTTTTCTATTTGCTCATCTATTTTTTATTGAAGAACTCTTTGTATATTAGGGCAGTTTGCCTTTTGTCACAACTTAGTCTTTTATTGACATGGAGGATGTTAACAGAATCATGTGAAGGGTAAACAAAATAGAAACAAACCCAACAAACCAGGATACAAAAATGCACAGATGCCACAAGCCCCGTTTTAACTGTGTGCACACTTGCTGCTCCTGATGGCTTAGTTTTCCCTTTTGGGCCACTCACAGAGAAGTCGGACTCTGAGACACTTGTGTGATAGCACCGGGTAACCAATGCTGCCTCTGGGCCTGTGTTTGGGAGAATAAAATCCGTTGGTGCACCAGGGACCTTGCTGGGTGTTCTCTGTGACTTTGAGCCCTGTGCCTCCCATATTTTGCACGTGTCTTTTGTCCCTTCTCTCCTGTGCTGTCTGCCAGCTGTGCTGGTGCTCAGGGTGGCTGGCAGAAGCGCTTGGATCACTGGGCCTTTGTACTGATAAACAGAAAAGGCCCTCACATCTGCCCGGGGCCGGAAGGATTGAGGAGCTCCTGCCTCCGGTTTGTGCTTGCCTCTCCTCATCTCTGAAGTCTCTGTCTTTGACTACATGAACTCAGCTGGTCCCACTTACCCCACTGCATATCCCTCTGCCTCAGTTTGCCCAGATGGCTCCTGAAACAGTTGGTGTGGCCCTTGGCCCTGGGTTCCTCTATTTGGGGGGAACCAAAAATAAAGGAACTGCTGTTGGACATACTGACATTCAGTTTACTTTCGTATTGTGCCATCATCCACAAAGAAGCAGCTCTACCTACAGGGACTGCCACTTTGTGTAACATCTTTGTCTCCTTCTGAGGTGCTAGGAGGCAGTGGGTCCCAGAATCTGCTACCCCAGTGGTTAAGAGTCAGCAGCACAACACGGGCATAGTGGTGTATGCCTGTAATCCCAGCACTTTGGGAGGCCGAGGCAGGAGGATTCCAAGTCTGAGCCTAGCCTGGACATTTAACATGTTAGTGAGATGGGTCTTAAAAGGTAAAAAAGGGCTAGGGATATAGCTCGATATAAAGGCTTAGGGTTCACTCTCCCATACAGACAAAAGAAGTTAGCAATAAGACCCTGGCCTCTGCATGCCTGTGACAGGCTAACCCCAAACAGCTGGATTACGTGAGCTTGGGTTTTCCAGTGGGGCTGATCCATGTGTTCTCAGACCCCTAAGCAGACAGGGATCCAGGCTCTGTGTACCAAAAGCCTCATTCCCTGTAAAGGGAACTTGGGAGGTGGGAAGGCAAAAGGGACTGGTGTTTGTGACCCACACCCACTCTGCTGGGCATACTCCTTGCCTTCGTCACTCTGTGGACTCAGTCTCCCTCTTTGGTTCAGTATTCTTCAAAGTGGAGATAACAATGACTCTCTCTCCTAAGAAACTGGAGTAGCCTGAGAGCAGGCATGTCCTGAGCACCTAGTGAAGATCTTCAGAACCTCTCAGGAGAGTCAGATCATCTCTATTTTTCTGAGGGTCAAAGAGGAGAAGTCACTTCCCACAGTGAGACTTTGGAGGGCCCGGCATCATGGATTTTCAGAATCTCTTTGGAAATGGGTTGGAGAGAAAATAGGGAGGGGCATGGCCTGGCTTGGAACCACATCCAAGAGCCACAGTGGCCAGTAAGTAAATCAAGGACAACAGAAAGGTTAGACCATGTGGTCAGGGGTGAGGCATCTCTCGCTGGTCCTAAGTCTCTCTCTTCCTCCCAGGGGACAAGCTGGATGCAGACTACATCGAGAGGTGCCTGGGCCATCTCACTCCCATGCAGGAGAGCTGCCTGATCCAGCTTCGGCACTGGTTGCAGGAGACCCACAAAGGCAAGGTGGGTGCAAGGGACTTATTTCCAATGGCAGAGATCAGTGCAGGTGCTGGGAAGGCAAAAGAGACAAATTTGTGTAATTGGTAATATTAAAACCTTACACTTTGTTTTATCTTTATTGTTACTGTCCTGTGCACCCATACCACATGCTGAGGGTACCACTCTTGGAAGGGCTTCTCATCCTCAGCGCTAGTAACATTGGGACCAGGTGACTCTTTGTAGTCAGTGGTGGTTGTGTGCACTGTAGGATGCTCAATAGCATCCTCCAGCCAACAGATGCTAGTTGCTCCCTACTCCCTTGTTATGCCAACCCACAAGGCTTCCAACATGTCCGTGTACTGTCCATGCACTGTCCCATTCTATGAGATTCATGGCTTTGGAGGGTGAGTCTTTTTTTTGAGGGTGATTTTTTTTTTTTTGCCTTTTTCCTTTTTATCGGTACCAGGGATCGAACTCACGACTGCTTGCTTGCAAGGCAGGCACTTACGCCGCTGAGCTAAATCCCCAGCCCGAGGGTGATTCTTGAATGCCCCTGGATTTTGGCTCTAGAGTCTTAACTCCTGTAATATGGATGTACACTGGGCTTGTACATCCCACTCATGGCCTTTCCTCAGCTCACTGGAAGAAGGTCTGCGTTCTTACCTTTCCTTTCCCTTCAGTAAAGAGAGGAAGGAGCTGCTTAGTGTTATGCTGTGATTTAACCTGCTCTCTCCTGCTTCTTCATCTGTAAACTGGGGATGATGTTAGTATATACTTCCTATAGTGAGTGACAAAGACTGATCCATGTAAAGTGCTTAGAAAGGTGTCCAGCCCAGAGTGAGCACTCACAAAAAGGTAGCTTTTATAGCTGGTTTTGCGTAAGTGGGGCACTGAGGTGGTAGGAGGAGGAGAAGTTGCTCCAAGTCACTGTTCCTAGCACAAGGAGGGAGGAAGTTCAGGGAAAATAAGAGTCCTTTTCCAGCTGAGTGTTCTGCAGGTGAAGTAGAAGACTCTTTCTTTGTAATTATATCTATGGGATTTTCTCCCTCTGTCTCTCAGATTCCCAAAGACCAGCATATTCTCCGGTTTCTGCGAGCACGGGACTTCCACCTGGACAAGGCCCGGGAGATGCTGTGCCAGTCTCTGAGCTGGCGGAAGCAGCACCAAGTGGACCTCCTCCTTCAGACCTGGAGGCCCCCAGCGCTCCTGGAGGAGTTCTATGCGGGGGGCTGGCATTACCAGGACATAGGTGTGTCCTTCACCTACATACCTGATATATACTGTACAGTATGGTCACTGTCAAGTGACACACTTTATGCTAACATCGTGTTTTCCTTTTTGTTTTTTGGGGGACCTCTGGAAGCCCCCAGCTTCCAGAAGAAGGTAGAACTGAAAAAGCCTTTGGGCTGAGGACAAATGTTTGCCCTGGGCTGAGTTAGCCTTGTGATTATTCATGCAATGGCTCTGTGAATATTGCATAATCCCCTAGGGCTACCATAGCAAATGACCAAACATTGGGTGGCTCATAACAACGGAAGTTCATTCTCTCTCATTCTGGAGGCTGCAAGCAGAAGTGTGAGCTTGAGGTATCAGTAGAGCTGAGCTCCCTGGGAAGACTCTCAAGGTTGCCCCTTGCCTGCCTTTTCCAGCTTCTGGGGCTGGGTGCTCTTTGGCTTGTGACCCCATAGCTCTAGTTTCTGCTTTCATCTTCACACGGCCTTCTTCTCTGGGTATCTCTGTGTGGTTTCCTTTCCCCATAAGGACCCCAGGCCATTGGGTTAGGGTCTGCCCTAAGTCCAAAATGATTTCATCTTGAGACATTTTCTTTTTGTACTGGGGATCAAACTCACGACCTCATGCTTGCCAGGCAGGTGCTTATGCCGCTGAGCTAAATCCCTGACCCTATCTTGAAATTTTTTTTTTAATCTTTTTATCGGTACCGGGGATTGAACTCACGACCGCCTGCTTGCAAGGCAGGTACTTATGCCGCTGAGCTAAATCCCCAGCCCCTATCTTGAAATTTTTAACCTGTACCTGCCAAGCCTTAGTTTTTAAGTAAGGTCACACTTTAAGTTTCCAGGAGTCATACTTTAGGGCTCCAGGGGACATTCTGGGGAGACTCTGCTTCAGGCACTATAGACATCCTTTTGTAGATTTAAAGACTTCAGTAGCCATTGAAATCAGTGCCTAGCATGCCTTTCAGTGTCCTTTATCTAAAAATTCATGTGTATTGATTTGGGCAGATGCTCTGCCTTCTCAAATAACTGGCTGACAAAGTTTTTTTTAATATTCTAGGGGCTGGAGATTTAGCTCAGCGGCATAAGTGCCTGCCTTGCAAGCAGGTAGTCGTGGGTTCGATCCCCAGTACCAATAAAAAGGAAAAAGACAAAAAAAAAGTTTCTTTAATATTCTGCTGGTCCTCATTGTGGGCTTCACATTGTGAATCTTCCTACTTGATGAAATTTGTTTTTAAGCCAAAACCAACATTCACAGTTCTCTGGCATCCATTTATCTATGAAAGCCTTGGGTTTATACTTCTTTATAGCTGTGTAGTACTCCACTGCATAAAAATACCACTTTTTTTACCCACAGAATGGTGGAAATTCCGAGTGGCCCGACATGCCATTCTCTGCTGAGACTGAACAAGGCAACCCTCTGTTTTCCTGATTCAGCACTTAAACAGTACATAGGGTCCTTCTGGTGGCCTCCTTCAATACTTTTTACTTTTGTGCTCTGTAGCAGTTCTGATGTTTAAATAGTCAGATGTATAGGGCTGATGTGCTATTTAGTGTTTCTCAGTGCCAGAACGCTGCTATGTACATTATAGACAAAATACCTGTGCTGAGCAGACTCATTTGTGTGTGAGTTACTGTTCTGTTGTCTGGTGTTCAATGTTGGTGAATCAACATAATATAAGTAACACAGCCTTAACTGCAAAGTTATCAAATATGGTTATCTACTGACTGGCTAACAAAAATCTTAGGACTAAAAGCTTGCAGGAATTTAACCTCACATTTACCTATAAGCAGTAGTTTGGTCTTTGCTAATAAAGTGCTCATAGTGACTTTCTGGAACATAATTATCATGAATAATGAGAATTTCATAAATCATTGTTCATATGATGTTTTTGCTTTAGCTGATAGAAAGTTAAGGACTAAATTTTATCTATTTTGTACTCTTTCATGACATGGTTCATTCTCTTTAAAAAAAGGGTTTTCTTTGTACTTGTGGTGGAATCCAGAGCCTTCATACTGAATTACATCCTCAGTCTTTTTATTTTCTTAGTATTTTGAGTTGCTAACAAAAACAAAACACAACGATTTTAGACGGCACCAAAGTTGCCCAGAAGGAGCTCCCACAAAGCTCCCACAGGCCCCTCACTCTGTTTGTCTTGAACCTTTTGGGTACACTGTCTGTGTTCCCTTTCCTGAGGGAAGGTGCAAGTTCCCCTTAGTCCCCAAGTGAACAGGGCCTTGGTGTGCTCGGCTTGGTGTCTCTTCCCCTGAGGGAACAACAGTCTCACCTGTAGCCTTGACTTGGCGTTGTCACTGGCATCCCCTTGAATAAAGTCCCTCTCTTTGCTGGACCCTCACAGACGGTCGCCCGCTCTACATCCTGCGCCTTGGCCAGATGGACACCAAAGGTCTGATGAAAGCCGTGGGGGAGGAGGCGCTGCTGCAGCACGTGAGTGGCAGTCGGGGAGGCAGGGCTGCGGCGGGGGCGGGGCCTGCGGGGCACGTGGTCTGTGGGGGCGGGGCCTGCCGCCTGCTGTGGGCTGCACACCCAGCGCCTGGCCTCCTTCCAGGTTCTGTCTGTCAACGAGGAAGGTCAGAAGAGATGCGAAGGGAACACAAGACAGTTTGGCCGTCCCATCAGGCAAGGATCGGGCTGAGGTTGGACTTCCCCTAAGTAATGAGACAATGTCACTTATGAGCCAGTGTGCTACCCAGGCCCCGAGCCAGGGGTCTGTATGGCAGTGTCCTGCCTAAGCCTTACCGTGGTCTCCTGAGGCAGGGACTGTAATCGTCCTGAATGGAGAAGCTGAGTCCCAACGAGAAGCAGGTTATGCTCATCTGGAGTTGTAGAGTACTCAGTGACAAAGCTGAGTTCGAGTTGTCCCTGTCTCCCCTGACCTTTGGGCTTGACTTGCTGAGCCCAGCACTCTGGACCATGCTCCTTTTTGACCTGTCCCCCGGGACAGCCCAGTCTCCCAGGACTCTCTGCCTACCGAGCGGTTCATGTTCTCTAATTCCTCAGAAGTGCTGTCCTTGAGCTGAGTTTCCAGCTGCCATCACTGACAGTGGCATGGTTCTGAAGGAAGGGACCTTTTACAGTGGCAATTTCTCCTCTGTAAAGTGGGCTTACAAATGGACTATCAAAAATGACAGCTTTGAACAATAAGGCAAACACAGATATAACACTTTCCAGGGGACTTGAAGCCCTTGAGTTCCTTTCAAAGTGACCTTCCCTGTAAGCCTTTTGAACCTGCCCTGACACTGGGACACAATATCTAACACCCATAAATCAAAGAAGGAGAATTTAGCTCAGGGTTTATGGGGCTCAATCCAAGGTCAAAAAGCTTCAAGGTAGAAATGTGGTGGAGGGGCTAGTGGAGCAAAGCTGCTTAGTTTGTGGGGCCTGAAGCAGACGGTGCTAAAGAGGAAGACTGAGATTCCAATTATAGACCCCCAGAGCCAGGCTCCATGACCCACCCAGATACACTCAGGAGTGTTCTCCACTAGTCCCTTAGGTGGCTCCCAAACCAATCAAATTAATGCAAGTAAATTTAACTGTCACACCTTTAATCCCCAAATATGCTTTTGTAAGATTAAATTCTTTTGCTGTTGGAAGAGTTACTAAGCAGAGGTGCATTGTGTGTGGGGAGTAAGAGTCAGTCACACACCTAGGCAGGGACAAAATTCATCCCAGATGTTCAAATGAGGGATGTCACGGAGGCCTCCTTGCAGAGGTGTGGGCAGGGTGGAGTGAAAATTCAGGGTGAAGCGGCTCACAGGGTCCAACCACTGCAGAAAGCTGGTCATTTTCCTAATGAATTAGTAGTAATGGAATGGAAGCACCGAGAGATTAAACACTTGGACAAGGCTGCCCTGCAAATGGCAGAACGGGCATATCAGCCTGAGTAGTCCAACTGTATGTTCATGCTCATTTTTTGTTTTGTTTTGTTTTTCAGTGCTAGGGACTGAATCCAGGTCTCCATACTGAGCTACATATCTGGCCCTTTTTTACATTTTTATTTGTTTTGAGAAAGGGTCTCATTAAGTTGCCCGGGCTGGGCTTAATCTTAATCCTGCTTTAGCCTCCCAGAGTGCTGGGATGACAGGTGCACACTACTATGCTGGGCTTGTATGCACATGTTCTTAATGCTTGTGCTTACTCTATTTAGTAGTTAGCATATTTTAAATAATTGATAGCAACACTATTGTTTACTGAACACATGGTGTGTGCCTCCCTTGCAGAGAGTGTTGCATCTAACATCTTTTAACCTTAACAACCGTTGCTTAGAGGTGAGGACCATTACTATACTTGCTACTAACTTGACGAAACGTTAGGTCCCCAGTCCATGCCACACTGCTCTCAAAGGTAGCAATGAGACTTGAATCTGAGCACTTGGCCTAGGAGTCCATGTTCTGGGACTCTTTACTTGAGTAGCCCTCCTACTGTGGCGGATTCACAGAGGTATTCAGTGCCGCCCCCCCCCCCCCGCCTTGTCTCACTGAGCCTCGTGGGTTATCCCTGGAGAGGGGGTTGGAGGCTGTGAGAGGTGGCAGAGTCAGGTGAAGCATGGCTCCATGTCCACCACAGCTCCTGGACCTGCTTGCTGGACCTGGAGGGCCTCAGCATGCGGCACCTATGGCGACCGGGCGTGAAGGCCCTGCTGCGCATGATCGAGGTGGTGGAGGACAACTACCCGGAGACTCTGGGCCGGCTGCTCATTGTGCGAGCCCCTCGAGTTTTCCCTGTTCTCTGGACGCTGGTAAGAATGAGACCCACATAGCCTGGGGTTCCCTTTACAGGAATCATGAGGGCAGGCAAGCACAGAATTCAGATTAGTGGTTCCCAGGGACTGGAGGAGGAACAGGAAATGACCATGACCAGGTCTAGGTCTCCTCTTGGGGAGACTGGACTGGACAGAGGCAATGTTTACATGATATAGTGAGCACACTAAGGGCCACAGAAGGGTGCACTTTAAGATGATGATGATGATTTTGAGGACTGAACCCAGGGCCATTGCACTGCGATGCATCTCTACCTCTCTTTTTTATTTTTTGAGACAAGATCTTGATAAGTCAATTAAGTTGCCTGGGCCTCCTGCCTCATCTTCCCAGAGTGCCAGGATTACGGGCATGTGTGACTCCACCAGCTGAAAGTGATTATTTCTATGTTCTATGAATTATACTCAGTAGAGAGTCCATTTGCTCTTGTTTCTGCTTCTCCAGATCAGCCCCTTCATCAGTGAGAACACTAGGAAGAAGTTCCTCATCTACAGTGGCAGTGATTACCAGGGTCCCGGAGGCCTGGTGGACTACCTGGACCGAGATGTGATCCCTGACTTCCTGGGAGGGGACAGTGTGGTGAGGCCCTGGGCGGGGGTAGGGAGTGGGCTGGGGCTGGGGTTCTGGGCATGGGAAGGTGACGAGAATATGAGATAATGACTGTATTCATCCCTTTGCTCCTGCCCAGGAGGTCTTTTTGGGGAATGGGGCTTGTTGCAGAAGTCACTCTAAAGAGCAGGGCACCACTTGGATGGAGCCTCACTTTGGTTCTTTCAACCATAGTGAGTGGTACAAAATTTTCCAGAAGCTGAAGGACTAGGCAAAGGCTTACCCATCCTGTATCCCCTCCAAGATGTTAGGCAGCAGAGGTTGCCTGCCCACTCTGTGCCCTCTGTAGCAGGGAGGTGACTCCCAATGCCCCTGGCCTTGGGTTCTGAACCTATATAAAATTTTAAGTTTATGCAGTTTGCCAGTGTTCCCAAAAGTACTTGTCATTCCATACTGGCACTGGCCACTGCTCCAAGGGCAGATGGTGTCCAGACCCTTTTATTGTCTCCTTTGAAGGTAAAATGACAGGTGTCCCTAGGTCCCAGCTCTCTTATTCACATTGTGGGCCACAGGCTGCTCTCTGTCCTCTAACAGAAACACCCAACAGCATGCTGGCACCCTTTCTGGATAAAAAGAGACCAATTTTAGGATTCTGCTAAGCTCGCCTGAGGTCCACTTGTTGAGACCTGTATTTGTGTTTATTTACCACTTGTAGATCTGAGAGTGACTTATTGAAGGACACTTGGCAGTGACCTTATTTTGTTGGGCCTTACTGTTTTGCAAGTGAAATGAGGAAACATTATTTGATGATGGCCTGCCACCCAGGCACCCTTGGCTTTGAGAAGTCTGTAGAGTTCAGGAGTCCTTCAATTGCACTACCCTTAACTCTGAGGGGCATACATAAGTGCTGTGGGGTTCAGTGTGGAAGGGACTTTGACCCTATTCCAGGACTGTGAGGAGTGACTTGGGTGTGTCTGTGAGGGGATAGTCTGATAACTGGGTTTGTGCCCTGGCTGAACCACTTTCTGCTCTGTGATTTTGGGCAAGTCACAAGGCCTCACTGAGCCTCCATTCTCCTCCCTTGGGAAATGGGAGAATAATAGTTCTTCCCATGCTGGTGCCTCTGGTGCTAAGTGGGGCCAGGGGAGCCATTGATCTGCTTAGTTAGGGTCACTATTCCAAGCTGTCTTGGGACTCATGGGGCTGCTCTGTGGATCTGGTCAGCCAGATCGCCACAGTCCCTGACCTGCTACCTTCTTGCCTTTGACCTGCAGTGTAATGTCCCTGAAGGAGGTCTGGTCCCCAAGTCCCTTTACCAGACAGAGGAGGAACAGGAGGAGGCTGACCAGCTGCGGCAGTGGAGTGAGACCTATCACTCAGCCAGCGTGTTCCGTGGGGCTCCCCATGAGGTGCAGTGTGGGCTGGGAGGCTACGGGGTCAGAGGTTGTTCTAGGTCAGGATCCCACAGGGTGGACATGGGATGACTCTAAGCTCTGGCATGTGAAGTAGGTCAGATCATGACCCTGCCCGAAGGTGCCACCCATGCGCTGTCAGATCTCTGGCACATTATGGCCACTCAGAGTGGAACCTCACTGGCCTTTTGGGAAGAGGTGTCTCCATTCTCATATGGTGGCACTGATTCTCATATGAAAGGCAGCAGGCTCCTCAGCACTGGGCAAGTACCTCAGGGAAGGAGGTCCTCTCATGCCCTCCTCCCAATCCTGGCTGTCCTCTGTCCTCATGCAGGTTGCAGTGGAGATTTTGGAGGGGGAGTCAGTTATTACCTGGGACTTCGACATCCTTCAGGGAGATATGGTGTTCAGCCTGTACCATGCCAAGCAGATGCCCAAGTCGAGCCCCCAGGACCCTGGGCCCAGGACCAGTGGGCAGCTGATTGACAAAGGCTGGGTCCTGGGCACTGATTACAGCCGTGTGGAGGCACCTCTTGTTTGCCGGGAAGGGGAGAGCATCCAGGTTCGTGGCTTTCCATCATTCAGTCACCATTTCATGGCATGTGTGGCAGGCACTGGGATTGCAGGGGTGGAAAAATAGGCCATGGTCTTTGGCTTCAGCAACCTATAGGACAGCAGGGACACACAGTATCTGTTTAATACATGCTTACTTGCCACATGGCACTCGGGGACATGGGGAAAGACGTGGTGCTGTGCTGAGAGGCATCTGTGTGCTGGGGGAGAGCTCAGGCCTGGACTCTCAGTTTACCCATCTGGGAAAGGGGAATCATAACAGGATTGAATTGTGACTGCTGAACTAAACAGAAATGTATTGTCACAATGTTCAGAGAGTACAAGTGCAGTATCAAGGTGTCTGCAGGGTGGTCATCCTGCAAAGGCTCGAGGGAGCCTCTCCTCCTTTCTGACTGGAAGCTTCTGCAGTGCTCAGCCCACCTTGGCTGTGGATGCACCGTCCCAGCCTTGGCCCTGTCCTTACATGGATCTATTCTCTGGATCTCAAATCTGCCGCTCTTCTCTCTTACAAGGAGATTGGACACTGGTCATTATGTTTAGGACCCCCTAAATCTTTAACTGCCGATACTTTCCAAATAAGGTTGCATCCTGTGGTCCCAGTGGCCATGAGCTTTGTGGCGGGCGGTGGAGGCGGGTTACTATTCCACTCACTGCACTTTTCAGACAGGGAGAAGGGTGAGGGTGTTGGGGTTCCAAGTTCCAATTCCCTGCCTGAGTCGAAGAGGTCTAAGTATGGAGGAGGCCTTGGGGGTGGCCCTTTCATGTCTGGGAGGGAGTGAGAGCAGAGGACGTTCCAGGTGGGAGGTAGCAAGAACAAGGTTGAAGGCGGGGGGAAGGTTTGGGGAGCACAGTGAGTTGCAGGGATATTTTGGATGGGAGGGGAAGTACTAAGATTCTGAGGTCAGTAAGCAGATTCAGGACCCCAGGATCCCTATCTCAGAATCTCTTAGACATTTGTCAAAGATGCAGGTCGCTGGGCCCTACAGCTGGCAGGCCAACGCTGAATCTCTTGGCTGTGGGGTCTGGAGTTTACACACCGTCTCTCCCAAGCAGTCCTGAAGCGTGCTCATGTGAGCACTGACATAGCAAAGAAGCTGCAGGTCTAGGCACTGAATTTGGATGCTTCTCTGTGAGGCCAGCACTCCAGGTGGCCTCATCCCCACCTCACAATGCACATATACACTTGTGTACACATCTTGGAAGCACCTTGGATCTTACTGGAGTTTCCAGGAGTGGGAGGCTGTCTTGTCTTTCATGTCACATACCAGCACCCTAGTGCCCACTCAACAACCCAATGCTTCCTCAAATTCCCCCACCCCACCCCCAGAACTGAGGATTTAACCCAGGGCCTCCACATTGAGTTACATCCCTAGCCCTTTTTATATATTTAAGACAGAGTTTGCTAAGTAGCTAAAATGTCCAGGCTGGCCTTGAGTCTGGGATCCTCCTTCATCAGCCTTCGAGAGTGCTGTATTTATGGGTGTGCACCACTACTAAAGTTGCTGTTGCTCTTTTTTTTTTTTTTTTTTGTCTTTTTCCTTTTTATCGGTACCGGGGATCGAACTCATGACTGCCTGCTTGCAAGGCAGGCGCTTATGCCGCTGAGCAAAATCCCCAGCCCCCGCTGTTGCTCTTCTTGTAACATCTCAGCCTCTGCAAGCTTGCCCCACTGAAGCTTTCCAAGCACCTGTGGGCTCCCTGCTGCTCTTTCCCTAACTCCCTCAGTTTGCACACCTTGCTCGGCACGACCAGAATCCACTTTTGCTGTCACTCCCTGTCCTTGACTCCTTCAGATTCATGGGAGGCTGTGGTCCCACAGATAGAGTGGTAACAGCCAGGGTGACTTCAGGAGGCCCTTTTAGAGGGTTTTCATTGGGCTGCTGGAAGGACAGCTAGGAAAAGCCCTATTCCCAAGGCCAGCCCTAGGAGGCCCAGCCTCCTCACCATACCCTGAGGACCTCAGGCCTCAAAGCACAGCTGCTGTGTTCCAGGGATCCCATGTGACACGGTGGCCTGGAGTCTACTTGCTGCAGTGGCAGGTGCACAGCCCCCTGAGCAGCGTGGCCTGCAGCCTCCTGGGTGTGGATGATGTCCTGACAGCCCTGCACAGCCCTGGGCCTAAGTGCAAACTCCTCTACTATTGTGAGGTGCTGGCCTCTGAAGACTTCAGGTAGGATGGGGGCGAGGGGAGGTCCCAGAACCCTGGGTGTCTCCACTCCTGGGAGTGCAGATAACTGTGGCTGCCTGGGCTCTGCCCTGCTGCTAGGCAGGCTTCTCCACGGTTGGGCATGACTTGGTATGGCTGTTGCTAGAACCCTGCAGGTACAAGGAGGGGCCCTTCGTGTGAGAAAGAGGCCTGAGTGCTGCTTCTCATTCTCCTTTCATGGCACCCCCCTCCCATTAGACAAAGGCCTGACAGAAGGAAGCCCAATATGACAGAGCAGTTGGGGACAGGGCAGGAAAAAGGGACACCCATCTTCACTCCTAGAATTCCATTAGGCTGGGAGCTATTTAGAACATTCCAGAACAGTGTCTTATAGACAACTGTCACAAGTTGTTGCTTTCGGAGAGACAGAGAGGTATAGTGGTTATGACTGCCCGCTATTCCTGACTGCTGTGTGACCTCAGGCAAGGTCTTCACCGCTCTTAGCTTCAGGCACTTTATCTGTTGAATGGGAACCGCTGGAGCGCCTCCTCACAAATTCATGGTAAGGATGAAATGATTGGGGGAAGCTTGCCTGTCACCTGGGCATATGGTAAATGCCTAGAAATGAAGCAGAGGCTTCAGAGGTGTTACAGGAAAAGTCTTTAAGGCCTTCCATTTTGCCTTTATAAATGAATGTGATTTTACATTCTGCTTCAGGATACGTCTGTGTTTTCATCTAAAAATAATGAGTTAAATCTGCTGCAAGCCACCCGAAGCTAAACATAGCAAAGAGAACCAAATGAAAAGAAGAGTTCAGTGTCTTAGTGGCACTAAGCACGTTTTGAGCACTCCACATATAGCCTTGCATGGCCATGGCTGCCACGATGGACAGCCCAGACACAGAACAAGTCAGTCACACAGAGAGTACTTGTGGACAGCTCTGACCTGAAGCAGAAATAACTGGGATGGTTCAGCACTGTGGAGATGCTTCCCTCCACGCTCAGCATACACAGAGACTGAGTCAGAGGAACTGGAACAAGGCCAGGTTTGACTGCAAATAGTGAGAGGGTATGAGCTGGGGCTGGACCTCCCGAGGCTGGGGAGGCCTCTGGCCACATCAGGGCCCAGGTCTGAGCCCTGCACGGTCTTGGCTCTGCCAGGGGGCAAGAGGCAGGGACGTGAGGGTGCTTCATTTATCATTACTGCGTCACTGACTTTTCCCTCTGCACAGGCTGAGGCCCCTTGTGGAATGACCCCTGGGGTCTTGTTTGCAGCTCTAACAGCTTTTGTACCAGAAGGTAACTTTGCTGTGTCTTCCTCCCTAGGGGATCCATGTCCAGCCTGGAATCCTGCACCAGTGGCTTCTCCCAACTCAGTGCTGCCACTTCATCCTCCTCTTCTAGCCAGTCCCACCGAAGCTCCCTGGTCTCCAGATAGCTGACCCCAAGCCCTCAGGGCCACATCTGAAAGTGTCCAGTGTGGGAGGCCAGCATGCCCAGAGGCCCAGGAGAATGTGTGGGCTGGAAAGGCCAGTCTAACTGCTGTCAAAGTTGGGGTGTCTGGACCAGATGGCAAAGGTCTTGCCCTCAGCCTGTGTGAGGCAAAAACTCCAAGTCAGGGTACTGGATGCTGCCAGGCCAGAACCATCTCCTTTGGACTTGGTGTTAAGGAAAGGCCCGAGCATGTGAATCCCACCTTTAGGTTTCCCTGGACCAGGACTCAGCTGTTCTCACCACTCACTGTGTTCTCTCTGGGTTGGCTTCCTTCTCCTGTGGGCTTTCCCTATGTAAGGTACCCGTCACTGTAGAATGCCCTCTCCTCTTCCCTGGTTCAGTGTGGAAGGGAACCTCTCCAAAAAGTTCTAGTCCACCTCTGAGAATTGCCTCTCAACAGTCTGCTAGGGCCATAGCTATTCCAGAACCAATTATGGTTGTCAGGGAATGGAGAATGTTGGTTGGGCAGCAGATTCATGTGTTCAATTTTTGACAATCACTGTGAGTCTTAGAGGTGGGCTGCAGTGCATTGATTGGTCAACATGGACCATGTGCACGTGCCCGGAGCCAATGATACAGCCTAAACAGTGTAAGGTGTCCCTCAAGGAGTACTGGGTCTCCATCTCAAGAGAAACAGGCCATGCATGGTGGCCCAGCCCTGTAATCCTAGCACTAGGAAGGCTGAGGCAGGAGAACTGCTGTGAGTTTGAGGCCAGCCTGAACTGCATAGCAAGATCTTGTATCAAAAAAAAAAAAAAAAAAAAAAAAGGAAAAGATCATCTGGCAGGCAGAAAGGGCTGGCGGTCTCCTCAGCATCCGATTGCCTAAGGAAGACCTGTGTCCTTGCACATGCACAGGGGCTGTGATGGAAGTTAATATTGTAGTTTCTGGGAGTGGGGAAAGTGGCTTGCCTTGGACTGGAAATCCATTTTCCAGAACTTGGCTCGAATGGCCTAACCTTGACCACCTTGATTTGGAGAGGATGGAGAAGCTGAGGGCTCCTGCCAAGTTCCAGGCAGTGATGAGATGACTCAGGCTGTCTCTACACTCCTCTGGAGATCTCTTTCTCTACTAGGGACCTATTTAATTATGACCTGCTGTGGCTGTAAGCCACAGAAATTCACCTTTCAGTGGCTTAAACACAAAAGGGTGGCCATTCATGGGTGTGTGTAACTGGCTTAACAAGCTCTTAGGTTTTGGGTAAGGCTGGATCCAGGCTCTCAACATGGGATCTGGACTCCCGTTGTGGTGCCCATGCAGGAACCAATTCTACTATTGGTATGAATAGGCCCAGAATCCCTAGGCCAAGGGGCTGGGTTTACAAGTATAGGCACTGTCACTTTGATGCAAGCTCAGTAATGGTAGGACAAGAAGAACAAGGACAGGCTCCCACATTAACCTCAGTCTCAAGCAGAGGTCAGTGGAAAAGGGGTGTCCTGGGAAGCACCCTCCCCCTCGATCTGGACCTGTCACAGCCCTACTGGCACTGTTGCGTCTCAGGTACAGGAACAGAACACATGATTATGTACCCTGTGGGAGGGTATGTGCTCAGTGTGCATATATGGGGTGACAGTGACTGGAGGGAGACATTCTCAAAGCTACGTGGTCTCATGTCACTAAGTGTTTACCACTGAGGGCTGTTTACAGTGTTCTCAATGCTCTTAAAGAATTTCTAGCTTGTCTGTCAAACCTAAGTGCTACTCTAGAAGTATTTTGGGATAAGCTATCTTGGTGGTGTTTGTACCTTTATTGCCTAGTGAATGAGAAGGCTTTCCCTAGGGAGAAGCTAGACCTGTTGATTATAGAGAGGAAGGTCTACTGGGCCACATTCAGCCAGAGGCATTGGGTAAGCAACCTCAGGTGCCCCACCCAGCGTGCTCCAGCTAAAATAGTCTTACAACTAAGGGAATTTCTTGGTCCTGTATCTGGGATGACTGGGCAAGGGTCTTGTTTAGGCATGGCTGGATCCAGGAGGTCAGTGTCTCCAGGCCTCTCAGCTGCACCCAGATCTCTCGATGCTGTGTTCATTTTCACATTGGCCTCATTCTTTCTCCCACTTGGGGAGAAAGGGGGTTGCCAGCAGCCCCAAATCTGTCTCCACAGGGCTTGTAGTTTCTAAGATGGAGAAAGGTACTTTCTCATTGAAGATATGGAAGGTTCTGATGGGCTGTTTGGGCACATGTGGAGTACTTGACAACAGGGCCAATGGGCTGGGATCCTTGATTGAAATTCCCTGCAGGAGGGACAGGGAACTGGAAAGACTTCCTTCATGGACAGGGGGAGCCGGGCTTCACCCCCAACTGAGAGAGGTCCACAGCAGAGTCTGCTTGTTGCTCTGTGGTCAGGTCTCTAAAATCCACACAAAGAATTGTCACAGGCTGCTTTGCCTCAGGGACCTTGCAGTGAAAACCAGCATAGGAGGGGCTGTCAGGCTTCAGTCTTTTAAGTTTCCCCAGACCGAGGACCTGGAAGCAGCCTGGCTGGGTTTCTCTCTCCATCTCATTCATCACTTCAACCTGGCCAGGTCAGAACCATCGAGAGCACCATGGTGTTTAGAGTGTTTAGGAGCCCGGGTATGGGATTTAGACTGGGGTTCAAAACCCAGCCTTCCTCTTATAGCTGTGTAACCTCGAATGACTTAACCTCTTAGTGCCTTAGTCTCCTCATTTGTAAAATGGGGATAGCAGCACCTACCTCACTGGGTTGCAATGGAACAAAATGAGAATGGCTGCAGAGTCTTTAGCACAATGTCTTACACACAGAAAGCAGTCAATAAAGGTCTGTGGTAATTGTGATTGTTGAGTGTTTCCTGCCCAAACATGGGAGGTTCTTCCCTGAGGTGCCGCCCGCCAGTGTTTGTGAGACAGTTTGGTGACATCCAGAGAACATGAAGGTTAAGACACTGCAGGCACTTTCCCTTTTAGAAGTTGCTCATATTATGGACAAACTTTCTAATTGGAAAGAACATTACTATTGTTACTATTTGGGGGGAGTACCAAGAATCAAACTTGGTGTATTTCATGCTTGCTGGGATCTGTGCTGCTGAGTTATATCCCTGGCTCTTAATGTTATTTTGTGGTAGTGGAGATTGAACCAAGGGCCATCCCCATGAAGCTACGCCTTTAATTTTTTTTTTTTAATTTTGAGACAGGATCTCCCTAAATTGCTAAATTACTCATGAAAACTTGGGATCCTCCTGCTTCAGCCTTCCAGAATGCTGGGATTACAGGTTATGCTACCGTGCCTGGCTAGGGCATGCATCATTCTGAGAGGTGTTCCCTCAGCCATGGAGAAAATTTTTCTCAGGACATGGAAATATGCTATTTTTTTTTGGGCTGGGGATTGAACTCATGACCTCATGCTTGCCAGGCAGGTGCTTGTGCTGCTGAGCTAAATCCCTGGCCTAGGATATGGAATAAGAAGAGCTTTAGGTTCTTGGTTTGTGTCTTTTTCTTACACTTTCTAGAAATTCCCCTCCCCTTCATACAATTAATTGTTCAATGAAAATAGTATCATTCTTTTCAACACTATTGTGGACAGTGAGGTGGGATATTTCTTGTCTGGTTGATATTTTGTGCCACCAGAGGCTTTAAACATTTGAGATTTGGAGCCTCCTGTTATGGACTTTCCCCAAACCTTGGCATTGCCTTTGGCTTATTGGGGAGTTGACCAGATGCTGCTTCTGAGACTCTAGGAGCATTTGCAACAGGTCAGTACCATCCCCAAGGGGCTGCAGATTGTTCTAAAAGAGGTCACACTTCTTTTTGGGTGTTACTAGGGATTGACCTCAGAACTTTCACACTGAGCTGTATCCCTAGCCTTGTAATTTTAATTTTCTTTTTTTTAAAATACAGTCTCTCTAAATAGCTATGTTCCCAGGCTGGGCTCAAACATGTGATCCTCTTGCCTGTCTTTCTAGAGTGCTGGAATTACAGATGTTCACCACCACATCCAAGTGGGATCGCACATTTTATGTATGAAATCAGATCTATTTAAAGTTTCTGGGGTTGCTGTAACAAATTACCATAAGTGGGGGTGGGAGTTAAAACTGGTGGCTGCAGGAGTTCCCATCCCATCTGTAAGGGATGGGTGGCCCCATCCCTTCAGCCTCTGTCTTTCATCACATAGCTTCCTCCTGTGTCTTTCTTACAAGAACACAGCTTGTGGTTCATTCTAGATCCACTATGTCATTGTCTGGAGATCCTTAACTCATTCCATCTGCAAAGATTCTGATTCCATGGCCACTGTGTTCTCTCTTGCATGCTGGCTCCCCTCATGCTGTAGCAAGTGTTGTTCTTCCTGATTTAACTTGGCCCATACTCGCTCTGAAGAGCCTGTTTCCTTTCCTAGTTTAACAAAACTTTGCTACCATTAAACAACAACAAAAAAGACCCTAATTCCAGAGACCATGCAGAGGTTCTGGGTGGATATGGATTTGGGGGGGATGCTGTGTGACCCTTCACATGTCCATGCTACATATAAACAGACACACAGTTTATTAGTGGTGTTGGTGTGCAGAACCCCAAGTTTGCTCAACTTGCCCAAGGGTATCTGGATGACTCATGTATACAGGGGAAGTGAGGCCTGTACTCCATCCTTTCTGGGCTGCTCTGCCCTATGCCCTGGGGTTTGGGACAGCCATAGTCCTGATGTCAGAATGGCATGCAGGTTCCTCCTTAGGTATTGTCCTTCCTTCCCCAAAGCCTGTGGGGCACAAAGCAGGGGTACTGGCTGTCACATACATCTCAGGACTCTGAAAGGGTGGTAGGACAGTGGGAGGTCATAGACTGTCAGCTAGGAGAGTGGAGGAGGTGTGGCTCTTAGTGGAATGGCCTGTAGGGCCATCCTCACAGACCTGACCACACATGCAACAGAGGGAAAGGAAACAATACATCACACACTATGACTCTGTGGGTTTCTCATGAGCGCAAGCAACAGATCTCAGAGGAATGATCAGCTGACCTGTGGGTGCCTGGGATATGGAGAAAGGACAGCCACGCCTGGGAGGATAGCTCCCAAAGGGACAAGAGCTGGGATCAGGGCTCAGTTGCAGGTCTCTACTGACGTCTGTTGAAGCCATTGATTCTCCCTGGAGGCCTCCTGGGGCCTAGGCCAGAGAGCACAGAACAGGCTCAGGGCTCTCGAGTGGCCTAGAGGCTGTGCCTCCGTGCAGCCCTCTGGGACATCATGAATGGATCTTGGCCCCAGAAGCTACATAGGACTTGGCAGGGCTTGGAAGGACATGTGGCTGTGGCTCCCAGGGAGGCCAGAGGCAGGGGCTGCTGCAAACTCCAACTTCATCCCCTCCCCTCTATCAGTGCCCATCCCCACTAAGTCATTTGTAAGGAAGCACAATTTGAAGCCCCTCAGTGAACTTCCTGTGGCAGCTGTTTCTGAGATAGACAGCTTTCAGAAACTAGCAAGAGCTGTAGATTCACACTCAAACTTTATTTCATGATTCCAAAGACAGCCCACTCTTGGCCCCAGTTAGACCCCATCTGGGGTCCATCCCAATGCTGACATTCCATGAAGGGCTTGGCAGATTGACATAAATCATAGGGGTAACTACTGTGTGCACAGAACTCTCAGGCCCCACACCAGGCTGCAGGGACTGTGGGCCAGTTTGTCCAGAGGGCTGCCTGTCTGTTATGGTTTGTGTTTGGATCATCATCCCTCACCCCGTCAAGCCTCATGCAAACATGGACATGGCTAAAACTGGCGCTCATGATTGGTTTGTTGTCTGGTGCTGAGGTTGATGGTGTGAGTGCTGTGCCTGCCCAGGGGTGGAGCCGGCATACCGTGTAAGGGCAGGAAGAAGGCATGTCTTTCCTCTTCTGCTCTGTTCACACTTGCTGTTTGCAGTGGTGGCCATGAATAGCTGCCCTGCTATGCCACCCTGCCTAGGAGCCAGCTGAGTATGGACCGAAACCCCCAGAACTGTAAGAAATAAACCTTCCTTTGGTTCAGGTATTGGGAATCAGGCATTTTGTCTCAACAATGAAAGAAAATTAACTAACACACTGACCCATGAATCCACATCTCCTCTTGGATGGCTGCCTTTGGTGGCAGTATACCTTTTGTCCCTTGGAGATGACCCCAGGAGTAACACAACCTGTGATGAATGGGTGCAGGTTGCTAAACACCCCTTGTCTTCCAGTGACACAAATGGGGCATGTTCTACAGTCCCCTGAGGTCTCCTGCAGCACTGAGGCCCCTGCTCATATTATTCACCAGCTCACTAGTGCATCTGTCCAGGCTGTCTTTCTATTTCTGTTAACCCTACCAGTGCTCCTGGGGTCATCTCTCAAATAACCCACTTGCTCTCATGGCCCAGGTTCTTATTCTCCAGGCCTTGTTTCTGGGGCCCCAGCCTAAGCCACTGTGGTTACTAAACTAAGAGGATTTGGACATTCCTCAGGTAAAGATAATCATTATTCTCGTAACAAATTAAATCCCAACACTCTGGGAAGCTGAGACAGTCTCGACTATAAATTCAAGCCCAGCCTGGATGACTTGGCGAGACCCATCTCAAAAAACAAAAAAGGGCCAGGGATATGGCTCCATGTGAAGGCCCTGAGTTCAAGTCACGGGGCTGCCAACAACAAAAAAAATTCTGTAGGGCCTTGGAGAGGTTCATCTTGCCTAGTGAACATCACTTAGCCAGGGACTCTGCTCAGGTATGGCTGTGCTCCCCTTTAGCCTGAAGTCAGCCAAGCCAGTGCATGGTACATCTTAGCTGTCAGCATGTCAAAGGACAAAAATGTCTTCTCAAAGGTCAGGGCTCCAGGGAAGCATCCATAACAGTCTGTTACTGAGGCTGTTGCCTCAGGCACCTCAGGGGTGCTCCTGGTAAATCCAAGATCCCCTCTCATTCTCCAAGATTCTGACTCAGTGTGTCTAGACATGGACGTGTCTTGAATTATGTAACATTCCAGGGGAATACTTCAACCTGTAGTTAGGCTGGGAACTCCACTCAGGAAGATGCCCATCAGGTGCCCGACCTTGCAGCCTTTCAGTAGATAGAGCCTGCATCCCCTGAACTTGGGTTGGTCTGGTGGCCTTCTTTGTCGACAGAAGATGGCAAAGTGCGACAGCATCAGTTATAAGTAGTGGTCCCGCAGCACGTCTCTTTCTCTTCAGAAAGGCGTCTTCCTCTGCTTCCTTCTCTTGGACCCACCTGCATCTGGAGCTCCAAGCCTGATCTGGCTTTCTGGAAGATGAGACACCGTGGAGCCAAGCTGTCAGTATCCCGGGTAGCTTTCTGTTGGCTGATCATGGACACCCACGAGTCCAGCTGAAATTACTGATTGCATCGCAGGTCAGCAGAATCCCCCAGGTGACCCCAAAGTGAGAGAGAATTTCTTAAGTAATAATGAGTTGTTTTGTGACCCCAAAGTTCTGAAGTGTCACATGACAACAGATAATATGGACTTCACATGAGGCTACTTCACAATCTGCTGAAAGCTGTGTGGCTCATGTCCCCACCTAAAAAAACCTGCACAGTGACATGTGGACTTCACAGTTCCTTTTCTAAAGCCCTGATATGGGCCCCCAGTGACAAGCTCTGATATTCCCAGGGTATGGCAAATCAGACAGAAGCTACTAGTGGGGCTGTGATGCATGCGGGGCAGCTCTGACCAGGGAGACAGCCACCATTTGGCCAGGGCTGCTGGAGTGCTCTCTTCTAAAGAGAAACCAATTGGGAGTTTGTGTGGACACCCTGACCTTACACAGCGGTGACTAAGCCTATGTTGGTGCATGTTCTTAACCCCAGTTGAGGCAGAAGGAGGTGTGA